CACTCAGTCTCATGCGCGTGGATAATGCCCTCGCGCTCTTACCCACAGAGATATTAAATTGAATTTAGGGGATGATTGGCCCCTTGGATCGGTCTGTCTTTTTGTAAGAGGTTTTAAAATAATTGTCTGGTGGACATATATATTTAGTCTAGCCATAAATACTGTAACAATTAAAAATTAAAAAAAAACTATAGCAAATAACATAACATAACATACTTTGACAGTGTGTTAGTTTAATACATAAATATAAAACAATTTAAAGTATAAAACGTTGAGGCCAGTTACCAATAGAAGCACGCACTCTTTCCATGGGAAAATTTTTCACTGCCAATCGTACGGATTGTTTTAGGGACTCCAAATTATCATGGCGTTTAGAGCAAGCCTTACTCTCTAAAACTGACCATAAATCATAATCCAGCGGATTAAGATCGGGACTAGACGACGGCCAGTCTTCAGCTCTGATGAAGTCCGAAACGTTCGTTTTCAACCAAGACACAGACTAAGACCAAGACAACAATCTTACTGGTCGTGGAATCAGAGAGTATCTATGGCTTAGTTCGACAAGGAGAGTGACCGGTGCTTGAAGAGCCTAAAAGCTTTGAGAGAGGATTTGACGATCTGACATGTTTCAGGCGGCTGCGGCTTTGCTTTGCCCCGTCGCCTGGGTCGGATATGTAATTAGCGGCAGCCACGATAAGAGGGCTATCGTGTACCTCATGCTACCTTACGATACTTACGTATCGGTTCTAACCTTAGACCGTCGCGTCGTGAAGATAAATATTCCTCACGTACCACGATGCTCCGACGGCTATCCTACAGTAACTGAATTGGATGACATGCTGTCTTTTGATGGCGTGCATTGCTATGCGGATGACAGCACGGGGGATGCGCGATATATCGGCCATCAGAGTTTATCTCGAAGCGTGGTGCAACGGAGACGATCAAAACTTGTGTCTGAAATGGAGAACTCTCTGGGGCGAGTCTCCGACTGGGGTGGGATGAGTTCAATTGGGAAAGAAAGACCCCTTTATCATGGTGCCGCAATTTCAAGGAGTATCCCTGCATCTTGTGAGTCCGCACGAATAGGTACCACCGCCCCGCCTATTTCTGCCGTGAAGCAGTAAGATGTTTCGGTTTGAAGGGTGGGGCAGCCGCTGTAACTAGACTTGAGACCTTAGAACTTATATCTCAAGGTGGGTGGCGCATTTACGTTGTAGATGTCTATGGGCTCCAGTAACCACTTAACACCAGGTGGGCTGTGAGCTCGTCCACCCACTAAGCAATAAAAATAAATAAATAAAACATTCCACGAGTATCGGGATACTTGGGTTAGACATTTCGAGCGATGTCCAGTTTCGGAGTCATTTGGAAGGCAAAGTCAAGTTGGCGTCCAAAATGCTGGGAGTCCTCAACAGAGCGAAGCGGTACTTCACGCCTGGACAAAGACTTTTTCTTTATAAAGCACAAGTCCTTTGGGCCGGGGCTATCAAATACCAGCTACTTCCATTTGACTCCATACAGAAGAGGCCCTTTCGGATTGTCGATAACCCCATTCTCACGGATCGTTTGGAACCTCTGAGTCTGCGGAGGGATTTCACTTCTCTCTGTATTTTGTACCGTATGTAACACCCCCAGTTTGAGCCCCGTGAGCTCACCTACTGGCTCGGTGAATCTAGAATAGCCCCTCGAGTTTACTAAAATAGATAGGAAAAATAATAAAAAATGCTCAATGCAAATAACGTTAACCACAACACAAGTGTCGACTATACAGTTCTGTGTCATAAATTCAAAGGACCACAAGTTTTAAACGTACTAGCGACCCGCCCTCGCTTCGCTTCGGAAACTGTAATTTCTTATTAATTTCTCCACTATTTACTTAATGGATGTTATTGTACATATAAACCTTCCTCTTCAATCACTCTATCTATTAAAAACAACCGCATCAAAATCCGTTGCGTAGTTTTAAAGATTTAAGCATACATATGGACAGACAGATATAAGGACAGAGAAAGCGACTTTGTTTTATACTATGTAGTGATTTAGCTTTTGCCCGCGACTTCATCTGCGTGGAATACTTTGGTAATGCTAAATTTTATCCACGATTACGTAGAAGGTGAAAAAATTTTTTTTTTCATATATCTTGTTAGAATGTTAACACGTTCACTGCCCATGACCCACTTGTGGGTCATTTTGGGTTGGAATAATCAAAGCAAAAAGGGTATAGATATTGCTGATCAGTTAGCTATCTGTAACTCACTAGTTTGTAAAACATGCATCTGGTATACGAAGATTGCTTATTTCGATAGCAGTTATAAATTCGCTACTTATTTTCAATGACATAAATGAAAACAACAAATTAACAGTTTTGAGGGGGCATGAAATTATTACAAAACTGCTATTGGAAATCGAGGAACCAGGGCCTTCACGTGGAATATCACTGGCATCACCTTCACCTGCATCATCCACATCCTCATCTACATTCACCAGAAGAAGTTCAATTACTAGAGGTCAAGTTGATAAAATTAGAAAGGCATTTGAATGGCAGAATCTACCGGAAAAGGTGCAGTGGATGTCACAAAAAATTGAAAGACGAAGGTCGTTCAGTTACTGAGGCACGTCTAAAATAAAAAAATAAAAAATGTGAGCCGTCACGGGACGCCTGGCAGATGTGAAACATCGACATTAAAGCCGAATTTACATTACGAAATTAGTGGCGTGAAATTAATTTCGTGACATTAGTTTTACCAACAGTTTCACGTGTAATTTAACACTTTCGTAATGCATGCATTTATTTCATGCATGCAATTTAGTTTCGTGCCCTGCGCGATTTTTTGATGAAATTAGTGTCATGCAACTAATTTCATAGTGTAGACGCGACGTGAAACTAATGTCGCGAAACGGCCTGCGCTGTGCGGACGTGTGTATTGTTAGTTCGGACACGCCTCAAGCGTTGAAAATGGCAAACTAACGATGGAGTACGTGAAAAAAAAATAGATCTTATTAATGAATATCAATGACAAGGGTCCCGAAACACCTACAGTAAAAAATCAAAATTATCTTCACTCATTCGAAAATAGTTTTTATAACTCTCAGGATCTCCATCTGCTTATTCAGAGACTAACTTCATTGCACCAAAATGCCTTCTTGTTGACCATCCTCGAATCTATCAACTTTTTTTTTCTTGAAAGTCTTTTTTTAAGTTTATAGGTATATAAGCATTTCTTTAGCTACATTGAATATAGCAAATTATAGCTTTGATGCTGACGGCGCCATGGTTACTGCGATACTGTGGATTTCGCGACACTAATTTTTTAACGAAATTACTTTCGCATATATCGAAACTACTTTCGTGAAACTGAGCTCAACATGCATGACACTAATTTCGTAATGTAAACTCGGCATAAGTATTTTGTAAAACTAATATGCGGAAAAGAACAGATTGTGATAGGAACTAAATATGTCATAATGATAAAATAAAATATTACGAAAAAATAATTTGTTTTCAAGTAAAACACAAGTTATGTGTACTGTAGTTAACAACACTGTATACACTACGGAGTATACACTATAGGTATCCGAGCTCAGTGTAGCGAGAGAGATGGCTTAAAGCCGGATCGAGTGGGAGAGAATCGCACAGTCGATTGCGCATGGCATGCGTCGCCACGCCAGAAATCGGTTTTACGTGCGGCTATAGATGTTTCACATCAAAAAGACAGACGCAGAATGCCTTTTGTGCAAGAAACCCCTGTGTCTTGCATATTTTAAGGAGCTATTTAAAGTATCAAAATCACGCTTCAAAAGAGGACGTTATCAATTCGACCACCATTTTTTTCATCTATGTGTGTTCACCGATTTCTCGAGAATGCTTGTACCAATTCTTATCACTCTTTTTTCTTTTTTTTTGGTTGAAAGATTAGACTCCCCGAATGGTTCTGTAATCATCAGGATCAGGATCTGATGATGGGATCTTAGGAAATCGAGAAAAATCTACAATTTTCAAAGCCTCTCTTGAAGTTATTTGAGTGTTTCTTATTCTTCTTACTGTGCTGCCGCGCATCGGCATGCGCCTTGTACATCATTATTACGCGCATGATCATTATTTTGAGCATTAATGTGTATCTTTTAAGATATTATCTATATTATACTATATTATCTATCTTCATTGAAATCAAATGATCTAAAGGGCAAATTTCTTTTAAGTTAAGTACTTGTAACGAATAACGTATTTATTTGCATAAGGATTAGTTTTAATATCATCTTTATAAAAACAACTTCATCAATAACACTATTTTAGAACAAACTTGGTTAGCATAAAAAAGGTTACAGTGAGTGAACCTTAAAATATAGACATGCTGTCGCGGACTTTTTTTTAGAACTTTTATAAAAGAGAACAATTCTGTCACATTATGTTTCTGCAGAGCACGGAACGAAAGTTTTCGAAAGAAAAAAAAAAGGACAAAACCGATTTCGAAACATTACTAGTACTCCGCTCGTATTGCTTAGCGTGACGTAGGCTATAATAGCCTTCCTCAATAAATGAGCTATTTAACACAAATATATTTTTATATCGTTCCAGTAGTTCCAGAGATTAGCCTGTTCAACCAAACAAACAAACTCTTCAGCTTTTGAAATATTAAGTATAGATAACAATAACGGTAAGGGTTATTTACAATCGCTTTTCTCGATAAGTGTCCTTGATCTATGAGATTTTTCATTATTTTTTTTTTTTTTTAATTGTATTTTTTGACTTGTTTTTTTCTTTATTGTAAATATCTTTATTTATTTAAAAAAAAGAAAATAATTGAGAACAAACAAAAAAAAGCCCGCTGAGTTTGTTTCGCCGGTTCTTCTCAGGACTGTGGCTTTTTTTGGAACCGGTGGTAGAGTTAACATTGTTATTTGTACTTTGACATTCAACAAGTGTGTCATACTGACATCTAAGTTGAATTAAATGATTTTGAATTTGAATATGGTTACTCGAAGTGAAAATAAAAACAAACAAATTTGTGTACGGTATATTAACAGGTAAGTATAAATTGTATGCACAAGAGTTTTTCGTGGTGGTGTCCTTTCAACTTTATGTAGTGGCTGTATTTTTTTCTCTGTCGCCATCGATGTTATTCCTGTCCCGTTGCTCTTCGGTCTTCATTTATGTGGATGTTATTTTTGATTGATGATTTCTAAAAAATAAAAAATATGTTTTAAGAGGACACATTATATTGACACATGAAGCATCTTAGGGGGCATAACTTTCCTATACCTACGAAACAAATAATATTGCAATAGTAAGGAGGATCGTGTAGTCGTATTTTTTAAGAGATAATATAAACTAGAATTATTTATTATAAACTCACTTGTATTTTTTTGGCTTCAGTCTCCATCCCTATCCGTTGTCGCATTAGGCTTGTTAGTTTCCATGTTGGGAACGTATTTTTAACCTTTACTCAATTTCTTCTTAATGTAGCTGTCAGTAAAGAAGCTTGGCTTCTTCTCTCTTTTTACAAGAATCTTTACCAATCTTCGCTTTCTGGTTTTTGGTGCTTTATCGTCTCCAGCATCTATTGTTTTGTCTTACTTCTTCAGTTTTCTTTCTTCGTCTTTCAGCTTGACATCGTTACTATGGTGTTTTCTCTTAGTCTTCACTTTTCTTAATTTCCTGCCAGTGTTTTTTCTTCATCTTCACTCTTGTTTTTCTCTTCTTATTCTATACCCCTTTACGTTCAGTTTCTCTATTTTACTTTATATCCAATTTCTCTTCGCCTTTTATCTTCATCTTCTTTCTGGACCTCCACACGATGGTGTTTTAGACTGTGACTATGACTTTTTGTTTATGTTTCTTTAATTCTCGTTATATCTTGTCCATTACTTAAATCTTCACTCCACCAGCTTTTGCTCAATCATCTCGTTCATCTTGTTCATCTCTTCTCGTAATCAGGCAATTTTTTTGTTGGTCATCATGCCATCGCGCTTTTTTTCTTTGTTTTCATTCCTCTCCCTTTGATTTTTAATTTTCTTTTAGCTACCATCGCTTAAGTAATTTCATATTTTTTCTTCGTCCCCACTGTCTTCCTTCTCCAGCTTCTAGTCGCAGTCTTCCTTCTTCAGCTTCTAATCGCAGTCTTCCTTCTTCAGCTTCTAGTCGCAGTCTTCCTTCTTCAGCTTCTAGTCGCAGTCTTCCTTCTTCAGCTTCTAGTCGCAGTCTTCCTTCTTCAGCTTCTAGTCGCAGTCTTCCTTCTTCAGCTTCTAGTCGCAGTCTTCCTTCTTCAGCTTCTAGTCGCAGTCTTCCTTCTTCAGCTTCTAGTACCAAGAGACTGAAGAGGTTGAAGAAAGAAGACTGCAAGAGATTGAAGAAAGAAGACTGCGAAGAGGATGAAGAAAGAAGACTGCAAGAGGATGAAGAAAGAAGACTGCAAGAGGATGAAGAAAGAAGACTGCAAGAGGATGAAGAAAGAAGACTGCAAGAGGATGAAGAAAGAAGACTGCAAGAGGATGAAGAAAGAAGACTGCAAGAGGATGAAGAAAGAAGACTGCAAGAGGATGAAGAAGAGAAGACTGCAAGAGGTGGGGATGAAGAAAGAAGACTGCAAGAGGGAGTGAAGAAAGAAGACCTGCAAGAGGATGAAGAAGAAGATGCAAGATAAGAAAGAGACGCAGGAGAAGAAAGAAGACTGCAAGAGGATGAAGAAAGAAGATCCCAAGAGCTGCCAGAGGTTGAAGAAAGAAGACCCCAAGAGCTGCCAGAGTTGAAGAAAGAAGACACCGAGAGCTGCAAGAAAGAAGACACCGAGATGTTGAAGAAAGAAGATCCCCCAAGAGCTGCCAGAGGTTGAAGAAAGAAGATCCCCAAGAGCTGCCAGAGGTTGAAGAAAGAAGATCCCCAAGAGCTGCCAGAGGTTGAAGAAAGAAGATCCCCAAGAGCTGCCAGAGGTTGAAGAAAGAAGATCCCCAAGAGCTGCCAGAGGTTGAAGAAAGAAGATA